AAGTTGGTATTCTCCTTTTGAATGAGAATTTCCACAATGAATGTTCCAGCAAGGTGAGCGGGTGCATGGTGCTGTCCTCCCTGTGACACATTACACAAACATCCTGACTTCTTGGTAATTGAAGAACACATGGCACTGTTTGTAAGACTGGGTATTAATCCAGTTATCTTGCCTAAATTCTAGTCTTGGTTTCAACCATCTAACCCCCTAGAATTCCCCCCCCCCAGTTAATCTGGTGATGCAGTTTCTCCATCTCATCAGGTGTGCAGTGGGACTGCATGTCTGTGGATTCCCTGACCCATCTGTATCTTTTTCAGGAACTGGGGAACCCTTGTTTAGCAAGTGAAGAATGAATTCACACGTGATTTCATAAATTCCTTCCTCATTTCTAGAGATGAAACAGTCAACTTCATGCTTCCTCCTTGGCATAAAAATAAGTTATGCTCTTAAATTCATGTGGCTCAGAACTGGATGAAAAACAGTTTTTCAAGGCTCAAGTTTCCAGTTACCCAACTGGGACTAATGTGGGAGAAATGTTTTAATTTCAAATTCAAATTAGAGGAGTCTGTGATGCAGGCCTGAAACTACTTAAAGAAGGTTTTTGGAAAGTAAATGACCTAATGGGACAGAATTTCCAGAATAGGAACTGTTGCTTGAAACAATCATTTAATTTGCAAATTAGCAGGAAACAAAAATAGGATTTGACTCCAATTTGTTTGCCATAGTCCCATGGTACTGTGGCAAGTGAATGGATTAAGGATCAGTAAATTGAAGGTATTTGTAAATGAATCTAATTCAGAAGTATAAAGATACAAGGGTGTAATGTTTAATGTTTCTTGCTCTTGATAGGGTTTGAACTAGACAAGTTGCTATGTCACGCTCTTACAGAAGAGTTCTTTTAATTTTCAGAATATGACTGTTTCTCAGAACAGGCAGAAGCTGTGCCATAATGTTGTGTTCTTAACCACAGAGATTGACCTCAGTGGTTGTGCTAATGTCTTATCCTTTTAGAATTATACTTCTGGTGTGAGTTCCACCTATGAGTCACAATTGCTGAGTTCGGTTTTATTGACATCTGTTATTGAACAGGCAAATGAACAACTAAAGCTGAATGGTTGTATAATGCAAATCTATAAAGATAGCATGAACTATTTGAGTAATTAAACTAAGTATATAATAGGGCACATTGATAAGTGAGTTGTATTTTACACCTTAAAATAATACTCAACTGTTCTGAAAGAGCAGTTAGTTATAACAAGAAAGATAAGTTAAAGTTTATTCATTGGATTCTTTACTATAATTAAGGATCTGGAATTGAACCAATGTGGTAAATAATTACTAGAGCCAGGGCTGTAGTGCTAGTTGTAGGACAGTACAGGGTGAGTGTTTGACAGTGACCATAACTTGGGCCTTTCATGTACCTTTTCGACTTTGACATCAAAAAGGTCCAACTGCATCGCAGCTCTCTTGATACGGCATAAGAAACATCCTGTTCCGGCACCTGTGTCAAGACGATAGGAGCTGAGCTGTAACAGGACATTTTCCAAATATGTGATGGGGTTTCAAGATTTTTTTGTACTTGTGTTGTATGCATTACAATAATTCCTAAGTCCCTGGCATCTTTTATTGATGAACCCAAGGCTCTGGATTAGCGTCTTATGCGTATTAAATACGTTTTGCATTTTCGTGTTCAATTCATCCTGCCTCCAGCTATGAAACTGCTCTGATATTTAAGTACTCAACAAACAGGCTTGCTTTCACTGGCATTTTGCTCTACAAGCAACACACTTCTCTTTCTCTTCAAATAGAACCTATTCTAAACCTTGTAGAAAAAAAACAACAGAACATAAACTTCATTCCTGGTTTGTCTCCTAATAGATCAGCAGCTTCATGCTTTCGTGATTTCAATATCTTCCTGCAAATTCCACAAGGCCCTCCTGACAAGAGTCGAATCATTCAGCCTCTGTCGCCTCTCCTGGGGTCATAAGACATTTTTTCCCCCCATAGTAAAATGAAAAGCATCTCCTTTCAATTCAACTTGTTTTTTATCTGTGGCTTAATAGAACTGGATGTTTGTGTTACATGACAGAGGAGAGCATCAGGTGGCAATGTCCTTTGTGTGAACCCAGACTCAAAGACAATTGATTTAGATTTTTACAGAATTAATCCTATTTTTCCAGGCTGACGGTATTTTGTCACTAGGCACGCCCTTAAGGGAAAGAGATCTGTAAGCGAGGGACTGAATGACGCCATTCTGGCCTCTTCTCCCTCCAGCTGCTGCCTGGCTTGTGAAGGATCAGTTGCCAGCTTTTCGTGTGACAATAGAAAAGAAAACAAAAACCCTTTCAACGCATCTCTGTGTCCGGGTTTCCGCTTTCATGACAGTAGGACAAAGTCACATGAATGCATCTCTGTCTCTGGGGGTTTTTTTTTATGACAATAGAAAAAAACCCTATGGTGTCTCAGTCCCTCTGGCTTACCGATTGAGCAGAGCGGGCGGCGGGGAGGTGACTCCTGTAAACGGGCAGGCCATCGCGTGCGGCGCAGAGCTGGGGGCGGACAGTCAGGAGAGCACTGCTGCGTCCCCATTGGTTGGCCCGACAGGCTGCGGCACCCTGCCCCATTCACAAGGCTGCCTTGTTCACCGAGCACGTGAGCCTGAGGGATAGCACTTGGCCAGGAGCTGGGTTGACTTGGCATAGGGCTTTCTGAGCTCTACACGTCTTGTCCTTACACTCACACCGAGAGTAAAGAGATTGTACCGTACACACCAGAAACTTGTTTTCAAGTGACCTTGCGGGGGGTCTTTTTAAAAATATTTATTAAGCTTAATAAAGCTAAACACTGTGGGAGGATAATAACTCCCACGAGGAATCTGCAGAGTGCAGGGACTGAATAAAACAATCTTATATAGGTCAGTGGTTGCCCTTTCTGGTAGAGCGAGTCAGGCCGGATAGTTTATAAAGCAAAGCATGCAAAACAACAATTAAACACATGCATGTAAGTACAACTAATTTTGTATCATCAAGCCCATGTATTGCAATGTAAACTCATAAATATGTGTAATTCTTCATGTATTCTTAATTCTACAGCCCAATTAAACATATAAATATAGGAAAGTATATTTTTCCACGTGTTCTTCATTTTACTGTGAAATTAAAATAAAACATAATCCTGTTTCTTTCATTCCATAGTTATGATTTATCTTAGGCTTGGAGAATTGACCTTCTTTGGTGATTTCCGATAAGGGGTGAGAGGTTATATTTTGGGAATCAAAGGAGTGCAGGCTGCAGTGAAGGTGAATAATGAAAGGACAGCAGCCATATCACCCTGCAACTGACACCTGGCAGCCCCACTGGAGCCCAGCAAGTGTGAGCCTGGCCAGTACCTGGATGGGAGACTCCTGGGAAAAACTAAGAATCTGCTGGAAGAGGTGTTAGTGTTGCCCGTAGGGGGCACTCACCCTGTGGTCAGTGTGGGTCCTAATTTTTCAGTATATAGTGAGGGGGGACACTATAGTGTAAAATGGCGCTGTCCTTCGGATGAGACGTAAAACCGAGGTCCGGACGCTCTATGGTCATTAAAAATTAATAATAATAATTGCTTACACTTATATAGCGCTTTTCTGGACACTCCACTCAAAGTGCTTTACAGGTAATGGGGATCCCCTCCACCACCCCCAGTGTGCAGCCCCACCTGGATGATGCGACGGCAGCCATGGTGCACCAGTACACTCACCACACATCAGCTATTAGTGGGGAGGAGAGCAGAGTGATGAAGCCAATTCATAGATAGGGATTATTAGGAGGCCATGATGGTAAGGGCCAATGGGAAATTTGGCCAGGAC